CGATATCATTTCATGTGTTTTCCACATGAAAGTAAAGGCGTTTATAAGATTTCTTAAAGAAGACAAAACATTTGGACCTGTCGTAGCACGTAAGTCGTATATATTATTCTTGGTTTAATATATATATATATATATATATATATATATATATATATATATATATATATATATATATAGATTTTGTAGTTTTCTCTGTTTCACTTTTGTATTACTTCGCAATAATTTCAATTTTTTTGTGGACCTGTACACAATTGAATTCCAGAAGCGAGGCTTACCTCATTGTCATATGCTGTTGTGGGTCGCTGCATGACATAAAATACAAGACCCTTCTGACATTGATGCATTTGTTACTGCTGAGCTGCCAAATCCATCATCAGAACCATTGTTATACCACACCGTTATAACGTGTATGATCCATGGTCCATGTGGTTTGCTAAATATTAATGCTCCATGTATGAAAGATGACAAATGTAAAAAAATATATCCGAAACCGTTCCAACACTGTACAGTCTTTGACAAAGAGGGTTACGCACATTATAAGAGAGATTGTGTTGCACGCCATACACTACAGAATGGGATCTAGGTAGATAACAAATATGTCATTCCATACAACAAAAGGTTATGCAGTCGTTTTGACACGCATATTAATGTGGAGTACTGTGGTTGGAATATGATGATAAAATATTTGTTCAAATTTGTTTCCAAAGGAATGGAACGGGTGAAGTTTGTTGTTCAGAAAAATGTGCCGGTTGGTCAATGTACCACCTCTTTGCAACATGTTGTTGTTGACGAAATATGAAATTTTGTTGACGGTCGTTACCTTTGCCCTCATGAGGCCGCCTGGTGTATTTTTGATTTTCCTATTCATGAGCGGGAACCATCCGTCACAATACTCCCAGTTCATCTACCAAATAAGCAGACAGTTTACTCCAAAGAAAACACTCGCATCCGCGACGTTAATGAACATCCAACTTTCGGTTACAGTCTACTATTAGGATGGTTTGAAAATAATAGGTGGGATTCATCAGGAACAGATCCGACGTAAGTTGCGTTTCCCTCAAAGTATTGGTGGGATAAGCAAGCAAAAATGTGGAAACGAAGAAAACATGTGACAAGCAGTGCGATAGGTAGACTTATATTTATACATCCTTATGCAGGAGAATTATTCTATCTGCGAGTGTTGCTTTGTCATCAGGTTGGTTGCACATCTTATGAGGATGTCTGTACCGTTTACAAAAAGATCTATCCAAATTTTCGTGCTGCGTGTGATGCGTTGGGCTTGATTGGAAAAGACAAAGAATGGATGACCGCATTTACTGAAGCATCTGAATGGGAAACTTCATTCCAACTAAGATCACTTTTCTGTCGCTTTCTTCTTCACTGTGATGTTAGCGATCCTATGTCCCTGTGGGAAATTGGATGGAGAAAAATGAGTGACGACTTGCTGTATAACATGAATTTACAGAATTTCGGATCGAATTTACATATAAGTGATGCTCATTTACAACAACTAGTTCTTTTTGAGCTGGAAGGAATACTTTAGTCCTCGACTCCTTCCAAATCGGTCACTGACTTGCATTTGCCGAAACCAACGGAAGAGACAATTAGATTGCTGCAAAATCGACTGCTTCTAGAAGAGACATCATATGACACATAAACACTCAAAACAGACCACCAACGCATGTTATCACAATTAAATAGTGAACAACTCCACATTTATAAGTTAGTTGTTTCATCTGAAAAAGACGAAAAACTGGTTCTCTTGTTTATTTACGGACACGGCGGGACAGGCAAGACATTTCTTTGGACTACATTACTTGCATACTTCCGCTCTATTGGGAAAATTGCACTTGATGTGGCTGCCTCGGGCATAGCATCATTGTTGCTACCATCAGGTAGAACTGCTCATTCCGGGTTTAGTATACCGATTGACTTTTCGCAAAAAGCCACATGCAACATTTCAAAGAAAACCTTACTTGCAGAGTTATTGAAACGTACGTCTATCATTATATGGGATGAGGCCCCAATGAATGACAGACGTTGATTTGAATGCATGAACTGTTGTCTAAGAGATATTCTAGATTGTGATGCTAAGGTGTTTGGTGGAATGTCCGTACTGTTATGAGGTGATTTTCGTCAAACATTACCTGTTTCCCCAAAAAGTACAGTCTCACACATCATTAGTTTGACTTTACCCAAATCATACCTGTGGCCATGTTTTATAGTTCATAAGCTAAATCTTAATATGCGTCTAATGAATACAAGCACCTATTCAGAATCAGGGCTAGGGCTATCTATATCAGAATTTGCAATGTGGTTACTAAACGTTAGAGATGGTGTTTTAGGAGACTCATATCCTATTGATAGAAAAGACACAAAATGTATTGAAATACCCTCTTCCCTCACTATATCACCAGGAGAAAACGTGTTGCAAAATCTTATAAATTTTATATATGGTGCCGGGATTCTTCTCAATCCTTCTCCATCTATATTGGCAGGTAGGGCGATTGTATGTCCAAAGAACGATACAACGCACATAATAAACGAGCTTGTCCTAGAACTTACCCCTAACGAGACAACATCTTATAGGAGTGTTGACACAATAGAATCTAATGGAAACCAATCCTCAGAATTTAACACTTTTCTATCCAGTGGAATACCTAAATGGCCTCACATTTCCTGCTATCCCGCCCCACAAACTATCACTGAAAATTAACACTCCTATTATGCTAATAAGAAATATTAACCAAAGAGAAGGTTTATGCAACGATACATGGTTGATTGTTTCACAGTTATTGCCAAACGTGATACAAGCAACAATAATTACTAGCACATCCATCGGAAAACAAGTGTACCTGCCTCGGATAAAATTTATACACAAAAGCCCTGAAATCCCTTTTACCTTCATTAGAAAGCAATTCCTAGTGAAGGTCTGTTATGCCATGACAATTAACAAAAGTCAAGGTCAATCACTATCAAAAATCGGAGTTTTTTTTTGCCAGAACCATTTTCACACATGGACAACTTTATGTTGCCCTCTATCGTGCTACGTCTCCACAGTCTATTAAAGTACTGATACACTCTGATGCTAGTGATACACATAACAGAACAACAAATGTCGTCTTCAAAGATTTCTTGCGCACAATTACTGTTTATGAGGTCAAATACATATCCATATTTTGTAAACAGAAATCATGTGACACCACATTCTTATTGCCTTTTCGTATTGCAATAACCAGTAAAATATGAATATATTTTCTTATACAACATATTGCAATCCCTACCTGTTTTCTAAGTCTTGTATCATATATATACACTGATCATATCATATTCCATCTCTAAACATACACAATTTTCCTTGCACAAAACGTCTAATTTCCAGTTTTTTTCTCAAACCTTGTGTCAGCCACATGTCTGAAATATTCACTGCAATCTCAGAGCTAGGGTATGCATCCCCAGGAACAGCCCTGTAGGTACGCATTCTCCGTACATGGACGCCACAAGTACGGGCTCAGGAAACATGGTTTTTAGCAGTTGACAAATATGTAAGTTTCCGAACCATCTTATTAATATTCATCTATTCAATGCATTTACTCACTTCCACATGGCTCCTATTAATATATCAGGGTGATGCAATCCAAATTCTTGGCCAATGAAAGGATCAAGGATTTGTACAATCTTCTCTTGCTCTTTCCAAATGCTACACACTGATAAAATATGGATGTGGAGAACCAGACCAATACCAGAAATGGTTAAACAATCCGGTATACATTGCAGTTGGCACGGCGTCGTCTATCACCTCTATCCCAGACACGGTTACTATTCCAACACACTGGTTTAACTTCATACCAAAAAGCCAAATACCAGACTATATAAACCCATACCCAGGTATTAGCTTACAAAAATGGACCACAAAATGTTGATAAAACAATACATGCTCTTTTACAAACTACTTTCAATATCATTCTGTCGTACATACCTCTTACATAACATGTATGTAAACAGATTATTTGTCGTTTATTATGCGGATTTCTTAGGAGTTTTCGTCAAACTGGTGGCCTGCACTAAGAAAAACGATGAGCCTTGCCTGCTCCTCATTCTAAGGAATGAATCGTAAGTATTGCAGCTTTTGAAAAATACCTATACACTAATTACTGTACTTAAAACATGCAAACAACAGTGGTGAAGATATTGTGATAAGCTTGTGGAAAGAATGCAGTGACGCACCTTCAAAATTTAATTGATACGCAATCAAGAATGCACTTGCTCCCACTGTAATTGCTGTCACAAACGTTCGAATCATGGATTATGCTGGTATGTTTAATGAAAAACCAATGTACATTATTGCTGGTGCAACTACCAAAAAAGCAAAAATCTAAAATAATTACAAATACTTCATTTGAAGGTTCGTTAAGGTTAGGAACCAGTAGTGCAACCCACGTATACGTAAATCCACCCATTAAAGAAACGTATACACTTCTGGACATGTACTATCCTAAAAACAATATATTTTAATCACGTTTGCATCTATACTAACAGTCTCTAAAAATCACATCTACAAGATAAATGCTGCTTCAACACCTCTATTTGGACCTCCGATGCCACTTACACAGATAAATGAGAAAAAACACTTAGATCACTTGGTACACTCATACTCCGCCAATGTTCTTACCACCTATCCTTTATCGATATTATCAGATATATTATAGACTTGTCATTCTTTAACAGGAAAAAACTTTCACTGCCGAGACATCCATAATAGAGTACCTTCTTTCAGACTAAGGGTACCAAGTTTTCTGTCCACATTGCAAGATATCAACACTGAAACAAGGAAAGGACTGGTTCTGTCCATCACACGGAACCGTCATCTCTCCAACTCCCGTGTAAGTGACAACACCTTCAAAACAAAAATTGACATATATAAACACTTTCTATGAACTCATATCACTCACTCACACAGCTACAAGCTTATGGCAACAATTACAGACCTAAGTTGCTCAATGACGGTTACCTTATCCAACAACGTTGCCCAAAAAATATTCGGAACAACAGCAGATAAAATGATAGTAGAGGACGACCCAAACCACAGGAAAAAATTGCCCACTATCATAAAAGAGACCAAGGGTATCATGAAAAAGATGAAATTACGGATCACAAACACGTCAAATGAAAGGAACATATGTTTCATAATAATTGATATCGAAGACAACTCTTCTGAATCATCATCAATAACAACCCCACCTCCTCAAAACACATCCTCCTCCAATATTCCTCATAAAACACATACGTCTTCACCGAGACAAGATCACCCCAAAGTCAGGAAGGCATTGACTTTTGAAAATCCAGGTAATACTCATTACACATTAAACAAGTATGCCCAAAAAATTTAACTAATTGTTTACATTAAATCACAGGTATGGACAAATTTGATACAGGCCCGAAACGACCACGCCGGTCGCAATAAAAACAATGGCTTTGTGCAACAGCTCTATACTGCCAACTCTTTGTTTATTTCCACCCCCTATTACCTCTGTAGTACCAACCCTTTTTTTAACTACTATTCGTACTAAGTTAAAAACTATATCATCTTTTGCATATGTAATATTGCCTTACAAAATTACCATGGATATATCACTAGCAAAACACTGACTCCTACAAAAAATTAAGCTATTAAAAAAAATCACAACAATATCGCACATGTACTATTCCCTTACAAAAATGACCATGCATATATGAGTACAAAAACATTATCCACTGCAACATACCTACATTTTAAAGAAAAACACAACAAAAAATACACACGCTAACATAAAATCATTGTCTAAAAAGTAATAGCTACCATCCTTGCTTATACTAAAAAATGGCAGCCATTAAAAAAAATTAACAGTAACACATATTTCAGCAAACAAAAATCCAATTGGTTCCAAAGTAGTTATTATTAAAAAATAAGAAGAACAACATTCAATACTATCCAAACACCTGCCTACTAACATTATATATACATAATTAAAAAAAACAAATAAAAAGGAAGCTCCACATTCTGGACACCGTCTTCATCCTTCTTTTAGACCATATCTAGTATAGGAAAATATAGCATGCATTACTAAGACCACCAAAACAGGACACCTCATATCCTAAATACAATTCCATACAATGACTTATCTAACCTACTATAACAGCAATGCCACGCAGCCCCCCTGCTCCTTTAGTAAGTTTTGTAAAAAAAACCCAACATCTGAAACACGTACAATAACCATATTACTTATCTCAAGACAAAAACCTAAAAGATGAACAACCAACAACTCCAAAACGTGCTTCACTCACTCATTTCTTACATATGGGAAGTAGCAGATCTTATTAAAGCAGCTCAGACGAAATTACAAGAAGGCTTCACCATGGAAGAAACCTCTCACATCACTCTCTCAACAAATGTTGAACACCCCAACTCCAGAATCCTAAAAACAATCCTGCAAGATGCCAAAGACGAGGACCAATCCATGGAGGACAACATCTCCTTCATGCTCGGATCAGTTCATAAATGAATTGGAAAATACAAACGCACAATCAAAGATACAACTGATGACTAAACGTCGACGTTGTTTTTATGTTTCTGTATGTCTATTTCCTTTACGTTTATGTTGCATTCGTTTCTATGCTTTCCTCCAAAGAAATTTATCCAGGTCTTATGATATGGAATAGCTATCATATGGGTATATAAATAAATACTATATTACAAAGTAACATACGACACATAAACAGTTGACCCACGACCCTCTAATCCACAAAACATCGAACTATCCATTGACAATTTACATAGAAATATTTATAATTATTTAGATGCAAGACAGTGCCAAAGGCGCACACTTGATTCCTGCTAGTTGATAATTGATTTTTCATTTCAAATTTTAAATTTCACACTCTAATTACATTAAATTAATAACATTAGAATAAAAAATAAAATAAAATTAAGATCTATTATAAGGTGATATAATTTCATGTATTTATTTAATCCAACGATTATAATTTTATATAAATAAAAAAATCTCTTAATTAATAATTTATTTAATATTATAACCGTGGTTCTCACGGGTTATAAACTAGTTATTTCGAAAGTGCCTGGAAAGTGTCACGGTCGTGGTGATTTCAAATATTCAAACAAAATTCAAATCCGATATACGCATCTCCGCGAAATGACGTTCGAAGTTTCGAGTCAACCGAGATCCGATTCGTCGATTTTCGCAAATCTGATTTTGGCCTGGGCTAAAAATACTGGAATACTAAAATCAAATACTAGACCGAAGTCTGAGTTCAGAAACATGATCAAAATTAATTTACGAGATGTTTAGCTACCTCAGAGTAGTGTAGTGTCCGGTACCGAGTAAAATCAAGTATATACCTGCTTAAAAGCTTAAAACATGCATAACTTTCTCATACGATCTCCGTTTTGGACATTCTTTATATCTATGAAATCTTGAGAATATGTTCTATCCAATTTAATCATCCATGGCCTCCATGTATTTCAAATGCGATAATTTGATTTTTAGGACATCAAATCTCACCGATTTTTGAACTGCTTCCTGTTTGATGATGATGGTCAACGTTTCGAGCGTTTTGAGGTATCCCGAAGGCACTTATGTGTGACATGATCATTGTACTTAAAATCATTAAGGTACTATGTCGTAGGTCCTACTACAGTGTGGTTCGCGGTAAATTGATTGTCTCTAGTTTTAGACCTAAATTCCGAGATGTCAGAAACATTGATCGAGATAACTCACGATCACATTCGGGATACTTGTTCACACTTAATGGAGGATCCATTTCCTGGAAAATTTCAAAGAAAGAAGTGGTTGCACTTTCTATAGTAGAATCAGAGTATATAGCCACGTCTAAGGCAACTCAAGAAGTTGATTGGATGAAGAAATTAATTATTGATCTGAATGTTGTTCCAAGCATCAATAATGCTATTGAGATGCTTTGTGACAACAATGTTGATATCGCTAGTGCAAGAGAGTCGATGGTTACCAACAAGACTAGATACATTCAACGGAAATTCCATTTCATTTGTCAAGAATTGAAATTAGGAAATATATGCATTGACAAGGTTCATACGAATGTTAATCTAGCAGATCCGTTCACGAAGTCTCTTTCTGAAAAAAAAGAGGGCCACGCAAAAGGAATCGGTCTTCGATTAGCTAGTGATTGGATTTAAATATGTACTTTACTAACATCTGGATATTTAGAACTATGTAGCAAGGATATGTAATCTATTTTGATATATGAGATATCTCTTTTTTGTTAAATATTGTTGTGTTCTATATTAGCATGTTATTTAGTCCTTGAATAATGTCACTATTCATTATTATCCATAGTCCTTCAGTGTTGTGGGAGCAACTGTAAATTAATACTAATATGAATCAGATTGGTTGATTTCAAGTGGTGAAATGGTAAAGTGTTGCATCCAAATTCATATGTACTTTTTCGAGAACAATTATTGGATATGATCCACGTCAAGAACCACTCGATGGATCATTTTCATAAGTGAATCTTGAACAATGGTAAATATCTTTATGTCTTTTGACCTGAGATACATAACAGAGACTCAAGTATAAGAATTGTTATACTTTGACATGGTTAAATGATGTTCGTAACCGTGCAGTCATAAAAGTCTTCAATAGGTATTGCATGAACTATATGAGAGTGTGTATATAGTCAAGATGGGAATTGTTCCTCTTATCTATTTCAAGTTAGACATCTAAGGCACCTTACTTAGAGTTGGATGTCAAATGAGAATGATTATGTTCCACGTCTCATATCCAACATGATGTATGAAACAAAGAGAACGTTGATACATTTAGCTTATACTTCAATTGTAGCTTATAACCTCCTGATATTGAATATTGATTGATGACACCCTTTTATGTATTGTTAGGAGTAGTAGCCCGTTGATAGACGTCAGCTACTGTCACACACACCCCCGACGGCCGGCAGAAACTCCGAGGTGTGCGACGTAAAACAAAAATCATAGTTCTTGAACATACATTGAACAATACAGATATAATCTTCTATTATTACCAAAATAGAAATTACATTGATAATGACTATTTGCTAAATCATGACACACGCCTAAAAATCTGGCGATTACGAAGGTATGGTAAAATAACGGAAAGTCTTCTATGCAAATTCTTCCAACCTATTAATAAACCTGAGAATACACGCACTAAGATACATCAACAAAATTGTTGGTGAGTTCTACAGGTTTTGACACAAAATATTTTTATAAACACGTACTTTTCTATCAAAAGTATAAAATAATTGAGTTATAAAAATGTATTTTGGACTCATTCATAAATATCATTTGTTCAAATCCAAAAGTACAAAATTTGGAAAAATACACATAAGTAATTCAGACTTATATCAAAATTATACGGTTCTCATGACCCAAATGCTTTTTATATAAGGATTTTGAGTGTCAATTTATATAAAATAAACTCATATCTGTGAAAACATAAAATGTCCAACTTTACTCTAGAAACCTTGTACAAGCGTTTATATAGTTTATATGTAAAACTCACAAGTTTCGAATTTGTAAACTTTGTAAAAATCGTGTTTCGGTATTATTTAAGTATTACGTTACTTAATTTGGGAACCGACACTTAACCAGTGGTGCAAACTCCTTCCACATACATATTGTGTTTTCGTACAAGGACAAAGGGTTTATATAAATAAGTTATTAGTTGTAAGTTATTAAACCTTAATAAATCGTTTCATGATATTAATTAAGTGATATATGATTTAATTTATGGTATTGACACTTATCGTTTTGGGACACAAACTATTCCACTACCTACAGTCTTTCAACTAGTATAAGTGAAAAAAAACCTCGTATAAACCCAATATTGATTCTATACGGTAACGAAACAAAACTAGGATTTTAATGAACCCATAACCGAACTTGTGACGCTGCACTTTTTGCACCGGCTCCATAGCAGGGCATGCGTAAGTCATTTACCCCGTAATAACACGTGATAATGTTTAATGGTACTAATGTCAACACCAAAATTTGTCTCGTCAGACGTAGTTTTAGCTAGCAACTCCAGGCGAGTGGTCTAACCGTATAAGATCAATAGCATGACACTTATACATGTCGTTAGTTGTTCTCTGCGGATTAACGGTTATGAAAATAAAGAGTTTTCCACCAAGACACACAGTCTTAGTATACTCAACAACATAGCCCAAATGACTTAGGAAATGAACCTAACTCATATAGCTTTAGTGTAACGACCCAAATTTTTATTATTTAAAATATAATATTAAATCCTCATAAAATAAAACCAGTCGTTACCCTTTGAAAAATACAATTAAGGTATCAAAAACTTCCAACCATACTTATAAAATGTTATTTGAAAGAAAACATTAGCGGAAGCAAAAACATCCCAGCTTTAAATACATAACATTTTTTTTATA